GGGTCCCCATTGGAGGGATGGTGTCACCAACCTACCTTCAAAATTTTTGACTCAGAATTGTTCCTGTCTAAAAGAAATGCAAGGATAAAAATGAGGCCATCCAATGGACCAGCCCAACTTGGGATCCATCCCATGAGTGGGCACCAATCCCTCATACTATTATTGATGCTATGTTGTGCTTTCAGACAGGAGCCTAGTATGGCTGTCCTTTAAGAGGTTCTGACAGCAGCTGACTGAGACAGATGCAGATACTTACAGCCAATCATTGGACTGAAGTCAGGGACCCCTATGAAAGAATTAAAGGAAGGACTGAAGGAGCTGAATGGGATGGCGACCTCATAGGAAGACCAACAGTTATCAACTAACTCGGATTCCTGGGAGCTCCTAGAGACTGAGCCACCAACTAAATAGCATACATGGACTGCTCTGTAGTCCCCAGCACATATGTAGCAGAGGACTGCCTTGTCTGTCCTCAGTGGGAGAGGATGTACCTAATCCTGTAGAGACTTGCAGGAAAGGGTAATGCAGTGGGTGTTGGGGGAAGGAGCACCCTCTCAGAGGCAAAGGGGTGAAGAACTCTTGGAGGAAGAAAGACTGGGAAGGAGGGCAACATTTGCAATGTAAATAAATAAAACAATTAAAAAAGGAACTCACTGATATCTTTTCCAATATTATAAGTTATCTGAATAGCATTGTCAGTATCTTACTCACCCATCACACCTCTACTACTTTCTGGGGTTTATATCACACAGAACCAATTACTTGAGAAATCTGACAACTCGGAAATCTAGATTAATATGGGCAAAATCTTAAAACATTTTTGAGTGAAATCATAAAATGCCTTCTATCTAGAAAGGCAACCAACTCAATGTTTTACAGAATCATAGGTTCTCTCTTCTTATTTGAAATGCCAGTATTACTAAATGTACTTAACTAAAGAATGCTAAGGATACAATCTGTATGTGCAACTTATAAGTACCAGAAGTGGGAAATCTCCATGGTAACAGGAAAATACAATCGGCTCAGTTCTCTATGTAATGATGGAAGGATTATTAATTTAATGAAAGCAAAAAGCTTGAGACAGGCAAAAATGATTGCACAATACAGTTACCAATCAGTGTATGAAAGAAGAGAGAAATGAGCAACGGAAGTAGAAGATTAAAACATTGAATCTTCCTGCTGGGCAGTTATGGACAGTCACTCTTGAGTTGGGAAAGAAAGACTAAAACGAAAACACTAGAAGATAAGTCAATGATGCTTATAAAACAGGAAGAGCATGCAGGAAGAGTGCTTTGTGTTGAAGTTAGGAGTTGTTGTTTATAAACTGCTTTCTAAGTCATCTCTGGAAAAAAAAACTACTGAACTTTTTCTTTTTTAAATTAAAATGGAGATTTTATTTTCTTTTTTAAAAAGAGACATTTGACCAGATAGCCACCTTCAGACTTTAAATAATTACTGGGTGTGTGGCCTGGTTTTAGTAACTCATAGTCTGTAATAAGTTTGCACAAAGGCTGTACCAAAACATATAAACACAACATAGAAACATGATTTTGCGGCAATGTTTTTCCAATTTTTCAGAAAGAATTTATGCTTGTAGCCATACCAAAATTAAGGATGCATTGAAAGTTAAGTGGCAAAGGATGGTGAAATAATATAATGTCATGATCTGCTTAACTGACTAGAGACAGATTAGTAGACATAAGAGCCATTTAATTAAATCATGACATCAAATTAAAACTAAAGAACTGTAATTTAATTGCGTTTCTAAAATATCTGACTGCTGTAGGGAGTGGAACACTGAAAGGTCACACATACTTATTGAGGGATGCAAGCCAAGAATGCCAGAGAGCATCCTTCTCTTGGGGTTAAACAACAGAGAGGATTACTGTGAAAATCTCTCATTTCCCAAATAGACACCTCACAGGGTCCAAGGGAGAACCAACCAGGAAAGGCTGGAAGGGCAGAAGGCAGGCCTGTCCCTCACCTTATTCTTTGTTCTCAGTTTGTGGTACTAGAGTCCTATGAGAAAAGGCCCAGCTTCAATTTACGTCAGGTAAAGCAGGCTAGAACCACAGCTACTCACAAAATGACATAGGACAGGTGTTTTTCTCCTTCTCTAAGTAGCAAGGTATACAAAGTTCCAGCGAATTATTTTTACAGCCACATCCCCAAATCCATGTGGAACACTGAATTTAGTCAGGAAAACAGAAATGCCTTCTTCCTAGCTAGAATGCTTTGCCACAGAAGTCGTCTGAACTGTCTGAGCTATTGTGGGTTTCTCAAATTCTTTCCTGCCATAAGACACTACCCAGGCAGGCATTCAATAAACTCTCTTCAAGGGCACCCTGAAAGATATACTCGGGGCAACAGGCTTTCTGAAAGGGCCAGGTTAGGAATATTTTAGGCTGCAGATCAAGAGATAGGAATCAAAGTCACTATGTAAGTTATCAGCTCAACGCATTTCACTTGACATGCAAATTGTTACTTCAAGGGAAAAAGTCCCGTCAATCAATAAAGACAATGTTACAGTACTCGCTCCTTTATTCTCATTGTCACTCTGCATCTTTCTTGATTTTGGATTTTGAAGGACTCTACCGTAAGACAGGAGACATAGCCAGACTGGCAGAACAGTGAGCTAGGATCTGCATGGGGAAGCATCATCTCCAGTGTACCAGTGTAGCTCCTTTTACATGGACAGGATGCAATGATCTGTACTAACTCAGACTGGGATGTCTGTCAGAATCTGGGGCATTCTTTCAATTAATACAGGCAATAAAAAAACCCTCATTTGTGGTCCCACTGACCTTACAATGTGTTACCATCTTAAATACGTGATCTCATTGGATCATTTCAACTGGTAGTGTAGGAAACTGCTGTTGCCCTCCTGCTTTATAAAAGGATGCTGAAAATGGGAGGAGTGCTAAGAAATTTGCTTAAGAGAATTCTAGTTCTATGCTGTAACAGTGCTGGTACACTGCTCCCTTCTTGAAGGCAGAATGTTAGTTGGTTGAACACTCAGATCATAATTCTCTTCAAGACTTCTTTCTTCCTTATTCATTATTTAGAGTTACTGAGGAGTAACAACTTTCACTTGAGTCAAAGAGAACATATAATTAAACACAGCAAAACAAAAGTCAACTGCTGTTATCTCTGAAAGGTGAAATAAATAACAACCTATGAGTTACCTTATGGAACTAATGTACATCTAACAGGGTGAAGGATCAACATCCTTCCAGCTCAAAGCTGAATTGGAGCACAGTGACACTGGTAATGTCAACCTACTTACACATGTAAGATCTTTCCTATAAAAAGGAAAACGGAATATCTGAGGTCAGTGTGGGAACTTTGGGACAGAGAAATTCCAAGAGTTTTCTTCAGTAATATTGGATGCAGCCTTGAATTAGCTGTAGAAATGGCCTCCTCTGGACTCTGCACCTATTCTTTCCCTACTATATAGCACTAGGGGTACAGTGTGAAGTTCCTGAAGTGGATGACATCATCACCACTCCACCTCAGTGGCAAAAGGTTCTCCTTAAGACTTTGTTGGAAAGCTCATAGGCCAATCTGAATTCCAGAGGGATTCATAGTGTGGCTGATAAGTCATGTCTGCAGGAGCTGGGAGGGAGACGCTTCCCTCAATTACAGATGCCCCCATAGCAATCAATTCTACTTCTGAGTTCCACACCATACAACTTTTCCATGTAATCTAGATTTCATGTGCATTTCTATACAAAGAGCAGTCTGAGATCTAGCCATCGACACACCGTTTCTGATTTCGAAATTATTCAACTGTCATGCTAATTCGTTTGTGAAGCAAGCCCTGTTGGGCAGTAGCATTTACTCTTGGTTTGTAAGGTCAGTGTACTAAGTCAACAAGCAAGCCCCAAATTATAGTACATTCACAGAGATGAATTTTATATCTTCTTATAAATAGAGCATCAGGATGAAGTTTCTGTTAAGAAAATAAATCTATTGGACACTTCCATATATTCAACAAAAATGGTAAGCAAGTAAATCTTACCATTTCAAATAAAATAACTATATTCAATTTCTCTCCACATTTGTTAATCTCATTCTTGGATGTTTAAATTTATACTAATGTTCTCATCTGACTCCCACGAAGTGTAAACAAATGATTCTCCTTCATCTAATATTTTATGAGCTATCAATATTTCACATAGTGTTTCAAATTATTATTTTTATTTTTAAGGATATATACTCACACAAACCTCCATTTCCTCCCTCCAAACCTTTCCATAATACCTCTCCTTGTTCTCGTTCAAATTCACAGCCTCTTTCCTCACTAATTGTTTACACACACACACACACACACACACACTTCTAAATATAACCTACTCAGTCTATATAATACTACTTGTATGTTTTCAGGGCTGACTGTTATTGGATAAACTATTGGTGTACTCTTCCCTGGGGAAGACTATTTCTCCCACTCTCTGCATTTCTTAGTTTTCTGTGGTTATTTGTGAGGGTTGAGGCCTCATGATTTTCCCCATTGTTGTCCTTGTTTGCTCATGTTAGGCAGTCATGCTGGGGAGACTCCCTCCTTCTGAGACTGTTAGAAAGAAGGAAAATCCACAGTCCTCTGGTTCTTCCAATCTTTTTGCCCACTTTCTACATTGTTCCTTAAGCCTTAGATGCAGGGGTGTTCTGTGGATGTACGACTGGGACTGGGACTGGGACTGGGCTGTACAACTCTACATTTTACTTTGTTGTGGCTTTCTGCAGTTGTCTTTATCAGCTGCAAAGAGAAAGTTCCATGATGAGGAACAAGGACTGCACTTTTTTAAAAAAGGGAATACTGCTTGTATTTGGACCTTAGTTTTGAATCAACCATGCTTTCTCAGCCAAACACACACACACACACACACACACACACACAGAGAGAGAGAGAGAGAGAGAGAGAGAGAGAGAGAGAGAGAGAGAGAGCTTGAGACTAATTGATTGTAGCATGCGAGCTGCACACATGCACTCACACTTACCTTTCGAACACTCGCCAGCCTGTTCATCATCAAAGATTCCTCTCGATCATCGTCATCATCCAAGTCAAGCATGGGGATGCTGAAAGGGTCGATGATGCTGCAGCACCTGGAGCCTTCGTCTCTGGGGTCGAAGGGGTCCACAATGATAGGCTCAGTTCCTTTTATCTCACAGCGACAGAAGGGGCAGCCTTGGCCATCAGACTCCTAAAACAAAGCAAACAAACTGACTGCCTCAAAACAATCCAGAGAAGTCTCAAGGTTGGACATTCATAAAATGCTTCATAAGTTTGTGGATCAAGGATGGGGATATCTTGAAGAAGCAGTTGAACAAAAGAGGTTGTAAATCAACAAAATATTTTATAATGCCTGGCATTAAATTTAACAAAAAGGAAATGAAAAAAAATAATAAAGCTTGAGCATCTAAAGAAGCTTAACTTAATTTTCACAAGTATTCATTTGTAATTCTAATGAACAAGGCTTTACGGTCCTCAGATACTAAAAAATGAATTATGTCCCTCTTCAAAACAACAATGCTAATTACATATTCCATAAAAAGAACATCCTGGCAAAATTAAAAATGACTAGAGCAATAATAAATAGTAATCAAAGCAACCTATTTGAAGTCTACTTTGGAAAAGTTCTTGGGCATATTAACCGTGGGTAAATATTTCTTCTTAAATCCACTAAGATTTGTCAAATCTTGGTTAATAAGGAATGAGTATGGAAAATAAAATAGTATTGAGAAGTGGCCATATCTAGGCTGAAAGCATTATGGTCTACATCTTACACATCCCTTAAAAGGCTCAGTTATCAGTCTTCTTTATCATCTTTGTGACATGGGGCTCAGTGGAAGGCAGTCAGGTATACTTGGGTGTGCCAGTGAAGGTGTTATCAGCACACTGTCTCCTTCCGATCTTCCTCTCTGTTTTCTAGATGACAGGAGGTGAACGTCTTGGCTCCATCACACACTTTATCACCAGCCCAAAGCAAGGAACAGAACCAAGCATAGCCTGAAACCTCACGAGCCATGAGCCAAGATTTCATTCCTTAAGTTGATTTATCTGAGTTCTGACTCAACAGTGGGAAGCTGACTACTGCAGAGCCTGTTGTCTTGACTTGTTCATGTGGAATCTAACACGATAAGCTTTGAAGCATCTCCCAATCTAGATTTCAAGGCAGAGGCTACAAAAGATTTGGTCAAATACTTTGGGGTGAGAAACATATTTATTGGTGATCGTTAGAGGTTTTGTTCAGCCTTCCAAATTCATGTCTCTAAGCTCTAACAGCACTGAAAATTCCCAGTTGAGAGTAGACAAAATGAGATTCGATCTTACCCTGTCTTCTAGACACAGGAGGTTAAAGACATTCATTGTCCTGGCATTTTAGTATTATACACTTAATTCAGCATTACATTGTGAAAAGTCAAAAATTAAAAAAAAAGTTTAAAAAAACACGACAAATTAGCATGACGTTTGCAGACAAACATACAAAAACTATCCTGTATTTAACTCAGGACTACTGTACTAAAGTCACTTGGCCTGTGGGAGTTGAGTCACCTGCCTTTAACAGTGTGGCTTCAGAGGCACTGTAAAAACTTCTCTGGACATCTCTGGACAGATACCAGATGTATATTTGGAAGCAGATACTATTGGTCTACTGTTTCCTTTAACTTCTCTTGCATTAACAGACTAAATACTTTCTTTATAATGTATACTACCAAAATGAAAAATTATCATTGAATTGTTTTGTGAAAAGAAAGTAACATCCTTGTATTCATGTTTTTACATAATTTTTAAGACTCGAAATTATACAATCATATATACACATATATGTATAAATATGTATACACATATGTATACAAATGATTTTGAAGAGAGAGAGGGAGGGGAAGAGAGGGAGGGAGGGAAGGAGGGAGAGGGGAGGAGAGAGAGAGAGAGAGAGGGAGAGAGAGAGAGAGAGAGAGAGAGAGAGAGAGAGAGAGAGAGAGAGAACACATATCAGCCATGTTTAGAGCTGATGGACATAAAAGTTTTGATTCATAATTTCACACATGATAAAACAAGATTGAATTCTTCCATTTTGGGCAATCGCCTTACTTTGATCTTTTAACACTAAGAAACTTTAAAAAAATCTAAACTTTCTTATTTCAATTTTACGAAAAGAACCTTAAACTTAAGGGATTGTTCAATACACGTTATCATCTGGATAAAATGTCGCTACTGTAAAGGTTAAAGTCTGTACTGTGTGTCCATATTGGCGTTTCTGTATAGATCTACATTAAATCCAGTCATTCAAAAGAGGTAGCTCTTCATATATACACTGAAAAGGACCTCATGTTCTCTGTAACAAGAATGTGCGGCAAATAAATGCAAAGTAGATTTCTGGGCCCTATGTGGACATTTCATTCATAACAGAATTACACATTATTGTGGCAAATTAACATACAGAGTATAATGAAAACATGTAGTCATTACCCAATTTGAACAGTCAATTCATGCCTAGTCTGTTTCCTCTGTGGCTTCATGTCTTTCACTTTCTATTATTTTGACGCACACTGTATAAATTCATACACATATTTAAGTATGGATACCTAAACAAAAGTCACTTAAAGATCCAAGTGCAACTACTGTAACTAAAAATAATTCATTCCAATCATAAAGCCGTAACATTTGTTAGCACAGTGATTGGAAGCTATAATAGTTTTATTATGCTCTCACTCCCAGATCTAGCATCCTGCAGCTCTGGCTAAGGACTGCTTGAACTTACACTACCTCCTTCATCCCAAGATAGACTGACTTTCCCTTGGAGAGAGGAGGAAGTGTTAGGCAACAACATCCAGATAACACGGAAAAGCCTGGGCATGGTTCTTCTAAACCAGGACTTAACTTCTTTCTCCAACCTGTTTACCTAGCCGTTGAAGTGACCCCCTTTCTTAGACCTAACATATGCACATTTTGTGGATTTTAAATGTAAACAGCTACATTGACTATCCATTTTGATTGGCAAATGGCTCACATTGACTGCAGTACATCCTCTAGTATGACTTCACCCATCATTCTTTGGCTTTAATTTAACTACTGTCATATGCAAATGAGACATAACCATAAATTTTAAAATGCTACTTTGGTTCCTCTGCCCTAGTTTCTGTCATATGGTTGATTGAATACAGATGAAGAATGTCTAGAATAGACATATAACTCATCAGGATTGTGCATAGATAATTAAAATAATGTTCCTGTCAACATATACTTAAGTCAAGATCAAAGAACATATGTTACCGGAGAAGAAAGAACAATAAATAATTTTGTACTTAATCCTTAAGATGTTCACAACTTGTGAATGTTAAGAGGAAGTATTTGAGATTCCTTATATTCTAATTGACTCAGTGGCTTTCACTTCCCTAATGTAGACATACTTCAAAATTTAAGGTGAGCGAAGTTACCAGTGAAATATTACCTGAGTAATATACCCATAATATAGGAATTTGGATTTATATACCATCCATTAACACTATGGATTAATATACATAAACATAACTTTAGGTAGCACCAATAAATTTCCAATGATAGAAAATACAGAAACAATAATGAAGAAAATAAATCTGCTTTATTATTAACAGTCTTTAAGAGTGCATGTGAACACTGCAAGTAGAAACTTTTACCAGAATCACCATATTGCTCATACACACACAAACTATGTTCTAAATATTTTCTCTTAAATGTCTTAAGATAAGCATTACACATGCAATGTATTTGCTTTCAGAATTATTAGTGAAGCACGATGACTAACAGCCACTTACTTTCTTTACAGAGTGTAGTATATGTGGTGTATCTGTGTGTGTGTGTTCCCAATGCTGCAGAGATGCAAGCCAGAGGTGCATGTTGGCTTTCATAACAGTAGCAAAACTACAGTTATAAAGTAGCAATGAATTAATTTTATGGTTGGAAGTCACCACAACATGAGGAACTGTATTCAAGGGTCACAGCATTAGGAAGGTTGAGAACCACTGACCTAGAGTGTCATTCACATTGCCCCTGAGGTTTTTTTGGTCAGAAGACATTTGACTTAATGTTATCAACTTTCAAACAACCAAAACCAGAAAGATCCGAGAGAAGGATATGAACGGTGGTTCATATCTGCTTGTAACTCTAGTTCTCGGGCAGCCAATGTCCTTCTCCGACGTCCACAGCTGCAGCTGTGATACACAGACAACACGCAGGCACATCATTCATATACATCAAATAATAGTAAGTCTTCAAAAGGAATGGCCCACATTAGAGTGTTAGTGTCAACCACTACTGCTTCCAAATTGTCTATTTCTGTTCTAATCCAGATACACAGAATCCCTCTAAGTCAGTAGACTCAGGCTCCAGCTTTCGGTTCCTAAGATTTTATTTGTTCTGCAGTGGGTGAGATGGTCCAGCAGGTAAAGGAACTTTCCTTCAAGCCTGCAGACTTAGAACAGACACAGTTTGATGCAGATAAGTCCCACTTGTATGAAATGCCAACACTTCTGTGACAAAACGGGAGGTGGAGACAGGAGACTAGCCAGGAAGCTCGCAGGCCTGCCAGACTGGGCACAAGTAAGAGGGACCTTGCCTCAGCACGGTGAAGGGAGAGATCAGCCTCTTCAGAGGTTCCTCTGATGTACACCCTCTCTCTCGATCCACCCCTCCTCTCAGGCCTGTGTCACCCTCCTCATGCCTGCTCCTTTGCTCTACCTCAAGATGTCACTGGAACATTTCTGGCCAAGACTCCAAACTCCTTCATACCCCCTCCTGAGAAAAAGATGCTCTATTTTATCTATCACACTAACTCAAAAAAGATGCATTAGACATCAAAGAGAGAAATGTCCATTTGAGACAGTTTAAAGGCAAATATTATTTTAGATTTTGTTAAAAAGTTTCAATGAAGGTAGAAATGTGAAAGTTGCTTTTAAATTAATCAGAATCATATCTGTTTCTTACTTAGACATAAGCAGTGAGCTCAATTTTTGCCTCTCTCTACACTGTTCTCTTTAATCATATGGTATTAATGCCACACTCATATTTGATTGCGTTCACTGTTTGCTAACTTAACATTTCAGACACTGAAAAGTCCTTCCTTCAAAAAAATGTCTGAAGAAAAATCTACGGGAAAAAAATCACAGAAGTTCATTTTTTCTTTTAATGAAATTCAAGTTGTTGCCAGGAATTCAAAATATAGCTGCCTAGCATTGACAGGGATAGCTTTTTTTATGTGGGACAGTTAGACTGACTCAGTTTGCTGTCTGTGTCATCTGAAAGCGCAGGCATCATTTAGCAGATTTGTTTTCTGTTTTTGTTTTGTAAAAAAAGAAAGGGAGACACAGCTCCTTCCTTTACACTGTACGTGGTGACGCTGTTACATTACAGCAGTGTTTTATAGACTATGCACAAAAGAGGATGCTGGACTCGGGACTGTGCACGGAAATGTTTTCTCAGCCTCTCACTGACATGTGTAAATGACACGGGTCTCCGTAAGCTTTCCTGATCAAGAGTGAAACAGAGAAGCCGTTGCACCCAGGGAAACACAGCTTCAAATGATCCAGAAAGCGTGTTATTTAACTTACTTGGTATTCTGTGCAAACTCTTCCATGGTTATTCAATTTATCAAATAACACAGATGTTTCAGAAAATGAAAAAAAAATGCTGACACCTCTTTGGAGGCATGACTAATAGGCCATTATGACAGCAATTAAAGAGCACCCACTGACAGCATGTACCGGCTCCCACTACTGTGTCTGTCTTAGCTGTGCTGTTAATTACATGAAATCGAAGTCTCTAATGAATTGGAGTTAAACTAAAATAGGGCATCAAACGAAAGACAATTTTAGTGGAGAATGACTTGCTAAAAATGCACTTTCTCGGACACATTATAATTTGCGGTCCAGGTTCAATGTTCCCTGTAGGACTCTGACAGATACATCCTAACTTCTTGGGAGGCATGCATTTCCCCAAAATCATTTTCATATCAGCACACCCAACCAAAGAACTATAAAGAAAGAGGAAACAGTTTAATGTCCATAATTAACCCTGCAGGAGAAGCTGATACTCGTTTCAGGTGATTATTGGTAATAATCCCATGTGTAAAACTTCTAGCAGTGAGTTTAAAGTAGAAACTACGTTGGAACTCGCTCTTTGCTCAGAGATTGCTATAGAGACACAGCTACTCAAGAGATACGCCTTAAAATAACAGTCAAAGCAACAGGCTTGACTTTGACTTCGAAGGGAGCAAATTTTAAAATGTCTAGGTTTGTTTCCATCCAAGGGTATTGTTCTTGAGTCACCACAGTGTTAGATTGTTGCCGTGCATGATTTACCTTCAAAGCTTAACGTTTTATAAGGCTGTACCAGTTGACAATCCCATGAAGTAAAACTAACAGCTTTAAAGAAAAAAGGAAAAAACAATGACCCTGTACTGTATCATTTTGGAACACAGGCAAAGTAAAAAGACAGAGACATCTGTTATAACCTGCCCTTCAGCCCAGAGCTCCAACACCCAGAAATTTTCCAGTAAACATGTAACTTTAGATTCAAGGTTTGACAATATATTACATAATGAAGGAAATGTTCTATAGCTGCGTTCTGCTCACGCACACACAATCAGTTAAATCCAGTGAGCCTCAAACTGAGACTCCCAACAGGGGGTTGTTATTGAATGTTTTCCCTCTATCTTTTAATTGAATTAAATTTGTAACCCGTGTTCTTAATAAGGGAAACATCTTTTTAATAACATGTCTAAGGGATCACACAGTATTGCTGCTCATACACTAACTGGAAAGCTCTGCACACAGATATCCTAGTCAGCAGTGCATATTGAGTGACACCTGTATGTGGATGTAGGACTGCTCCTTATCCAAGAGTAGACAGGTGTGTTAATTATTGCGTTTTCACTGAGATACAGTGATTCCAGACTGCCACTTTAGGAACTTCAAGCCATGTCCAAATGACAAGTTAGTGAAGAATGAAGAAAATGTGTATCAGACATCACTGCAAATAGTCCTTGAGAGAACACAGTACGTAGATGCCACATCATGTGGCCATCTATGCCAGGGTTTCAGCTAGCAGCAGAAGTAAATAATGGGGTTTAGTGTCTACAGCACAGAACACACGGATTTGTGACTACAACTTTTATGGCTTATTCTCAGGGAGCATCTGACCTGAATATCATCCATTAGGTAACCACCTACATGCACATACATGAATAGGCAAAGGGATCCCTGTATCAGAAATTCATATTCTAGACGGCGAATGGGTATACATAGAAATGTTTACAATATAACCAGGAAGAAGCTTATAGTCATACAAACTGAACCAGAATATTTATTAAAATATTGGTTTTTGTGAGGAGATATCAAAATTCTGCCAATTTTTCGTTGTGAAGATGCAAAATCTGACCATCAGTTTAGGATAACAGTATTCACTAGTGGTGTAAGTGTAATTTAATGGGATTCTTACTTCAATTTCATGAACACCTTTGAAATAGTTACTTTTTAAAATTTACTTCATAAGTTATTAATTTATTAGTACTTTTTCATATAACTTGTACTAATTTCCTCCTAAATGTTTCCAGTGCGTGATCATGGATGTACTTCTGCAATTTTTAACAGTGAAACTGAGAAGTAGTTAAGCATTAAAAGGGGAAACAGTAAAGGCTAATAATTTATGAACACTACTGGACATATCTACATGTAGGGTCTCCAACATCAATATGAAAATGTATGCAAGGCATCGGGAACTGATTATCAGCTAGAAAGAGGAACTATACACAAAGCTGTGGTGACGTGAAGGGCAGAACATCAAAAATACAGGAGGAAGGAGCTAGAACTAATCCCATGCCCTTCTACACAACAGACTGAAACAACGCTTTACAAAAAGCTGAAAAAAATGATAAGCAGTCCTTCAAAAATATATAGAATTAACACACTATTTTTTTGTTTTACACTCAGGCATACATTTTAAAAGTCACCTTGGGCTACAATGTAACTGGCATTTGTAAAGTGCATTAAACAACAGTTTTCATCCCAGTTAAACAAAAAGAACTATGTTAACCCACCTAACGCCCCGATAGTAAGTACAGCACTAGACCAAACACGTGAATTCCCATAATGCATAATCTGATTGCTTTGTAGATTTGAGGCCCTAGGTGTGCACTATCCTTTAAATTTTCTCAGGAATGCATAAGAACCATGTTACTAGATTAAAGGGTTACAACTTGGCTTCTTCTCAGTTTAGCACTCATTCTGTGATCCAGAATGGGTGTGAGGTAAATCAGACCTAAAATACTGCTTCAGAGGCAGTCAGGGGAGGTGAAAGGCCAACTGCACGTTGTGCCAGTTCGTCTGAAATGCCCTAAGGTGTAGAAGAAGCTGATTTTTGCCAGCAAATCAAAATTTGCAAGTCGTGTTCAAAAGGCCTAGCTAAGTTTACAGAACGATAGCTCGTTAACAGACCCAGCAAGACGGTGCCCATTGGCTGCGAACAACTCTTCCTGATGTCACCCCAAGTCCCTTCCTCCCTCCAGCAACTCCGTATAGCTGTGCAGATTCATCATCAAAACGAATAGGTTGCAAGAAATGAGGGAAAGGTTATCATGAAAACATAAGCAAATATATAAACTAAAAGCATGCTGGAGAAGACAGCCATAGAGATGTTGAGTAGGTTGCCTAGGGTGACAATGATGTCATGAGCGCACAGAGAAGTCTGGAAACCTCAATCAGCTAGACTTCATTACCTCCTCGACCCCCTCCCCCTTTTTAAAGTCTCTCAGATAAGAACTGAAATTGTAAAACTTATTACATCTCTTTACCAATTCACGAGTTCAGCAGGTACCATCAACTTTGACACAGCTCTTTTCAAATCTCTCCCCACCCCCCAGCTCTATTTCCCCTTATATCAGAAGTTTAGGGTTAGAAAGTGACAGCCAAAGAATGACAGGACTAAGGCTTAAAAATTAAATATTTTGATTCCCAAATTACAGCAACATACTGCTAGTTTTAACAGGGCTCCATTAAAGAGCAAACTGCAAGATGGCTTGATCAAAACAGTCTCTCTGTTAAAACTGGAAGCGTGTCAAAATAACCATTTTAAATCCTCAACTTCTGCAACAGTTAAACCACAACAAAAAGAGTCATTGGAGGAAAACAGCTTTTTCATGGCCTTATTCTAAAACATTGACTCATTTTGTATTTAGTGACTGACTACCCACCAACAGGAAGGAAGTTAGTCTTTGATTAAGTTTTTCAAAATTGGAAATTGCCTGTTTGGGAAAAAACTGCTTCAAAGACATGTTTCTCAGATTGCCCTGTTTTGGTCTCATTAAAGCAACCATAAACATGTGTGAGACATGAGCCATGGCTCAGGAGAGGAGAAATTTGATCGACAGCAGCCGCATAAGATGTATCTGCTGTGGTTCACTGTGCTTCAAAATCTTCCCAGGAGCATGACCTGTGTTGACTGAATGTGCTCACCTGGTAAATTAGTATCTGTCTGCATCATCATGACATTAACAGCAAGACAGACGCAGAACCACTTATAATCAACAGGAACTTAAGTTACACACATGAAAGAAACGAAATACAAAACAAAGAAAAATTATCTATGCATTCAACATAAGAAGAATCTTTTAAATATAAATTACTATTTTAGACAAAACAGTTCTGAGTATTCCTGAGTCATTCAGTTGTAGAAGGCTGAGAGGGGAAGTGTGAGTCGGACAGAGACACGCCACCCCTGCTTCTACAGAGACCTCGGCTGTACCTGCCACGCAGTAAGGCATGAAGTGCACATCAGATGCCCGCAAGGCTCAATCTTGACGTCTTTGTCATTCTCTGCACAGATCTTGCAAAGCTGAAAAGTGGAGCCCATTTCACAATACAGTTCGTATTGTTCCTGGAACGCAGGGAAGAAGGGCTGATGGTTAATGGTTTTCTAGCATGAAGTATTCATATTAAATTCTCTAAAATATAATGACTTACAATAAGTATCCCACTCTTGAACTTGTCAGAATTCTGTTACCATTTAAGGACATATCTTAAATTGATATTCACAATTTGGTCTACAAAATCAATTTTTATAATGTCTGAGTTCTTGGCATCAATTTCATATGTAAGGTTTTTTTAATACTCTAGGTTATATAATGTTTTATGCTATTAACAGACAATACCTACAGTTTTAGGATGGTAATATAAATGACTTGGTCTTTTCTTTTTTTCTTGTTTCTTTTCTTTTTTTCTACACTGTCAAATTGAGCAAGTATTGTCTGGGTATTACATTTTATTTCTTAGGCATCTTTAGGAATCTGAGGACAGAGGACACGCTATGCTCGTTTCTCATGTGGGTGTGCTGCTGACTTACTGTAGTCTACAACTGCGAGCATAGCGTTCAGTCACCGTGAGTTTCTCATGTGGGTGTGCTGCTGACTTACTGTAGTCTACAACTGCGAGCATAGTGTTCAGTCACCGTGAGTTTCTCATGTGGGTGTGCTGCTGACTTACTGTAGTCTACAACTGCGAGCATAGCGTTCAGTCACCGTGAGTTTCTCATGTGGGTGTGCTGCTGACTTACTGTAGTCTACAACTGCAAGCATAGTGTTCAGTCACCGTGAGTTTCAGGTATTGCTCTCAAATTCACGAGTACGTTTCTAACTCTGAAGTATGTGAAAAGTAGCCATCTGAGCAACTAAACACTGGCTGAGTCGAGTTTAGAATGTTTGGCACACTCAACCTCAGTGAACAAACACTGAAAATTTCTGTGTGATAGAGAAAACACAGACTAGTAAATGTAAAAAATAAAATAAAGCACTTCCAAGATCTCTTTATGAGTCTGTCAAATGTAAATCATGTTTTAATGAAGTCAGTGCACACAAACAGCAATGCATGAGTAGAAGACATAAATCGCAATTCTTATTCTGTGATTACTAAAATATTGTAATGTTCTATTTGTGCATAGATATACACACATATAAATAAATGCATGCATAGATACATAGAAATCTCGTCCACTCTAATATTTGTCTGATATTTAGTAACTGTCCACTATTTTGCATGATATTTAGTAAACTAAATAAGGACAAGGAAATGAAAGAAAGTTAAAAAGAATTATTACCAAATAATCCACCAATTATGAATCGTTGAGCATCCTGTACTCGCACTGACACTTGCCCAAGTTGTTGGGCAGTTACAGCCTGCTCAAGTCACAAGCAGGGAATTTATGGCATTCTCAGGTTCCTTATGTGAAATCTAACAGATGGCACTATTCTGCAAGATTTATGTACGGTTTCATTGATTTCTTTCTGTAGCACTGGGGGTCAAACTAAAGAGCTCAGGCATGTCAGGAAGGTGTTTTGTCTACTGAAATCATGGCCAGCCAGTTTCATTTTTAGAAAGTGGATTCAGAAAGAGGAATAACGAATGACCTCTCATTAGTATCTCTTTATACATATTGGAACATATGCTATAAAATTCCTATACAATGCTAAGAATGACAATCATATGTGAAAATTTCAATGCCTTCCATTAACAAGACATAGACATGCTCAGTGTCTCTCATACTTCAGCATATCAAGACTGGACACTGAAACCAATAAACATTTTTCTACTACCTTCAACTTTTACTGTTCATCAATGTATGAACATTTTTAAAATGTGAAATACTGTAAAAGTAGACTTAGCAAAACCATGTGCAAGTCCCCCTTCATGCTCTCTTCAATTCCTCAAGAATTCTTATTCAACGTTTCTAGGTTGGCATCTCTGGGAATGCGCATTTATACATCCATATATGGCAGTTTGTATTTAAAAAGTGAACTTCTACAGTGTAACTTGTACAGCTGGTGTTATACACGTAAGTTCTGAATCAGCAGACATTTGTATAGGACAAGTTCCCACTGAGTACACATGCCTCCTGCTCTTCGGCTGTTCACCATACAACTACAGTGAGCAGCTTAGAGGATTCAACCCATTACTGAACACTTTAGTATTTTAATCTGTTGCTTTGTGGAAAAGGCTACAGAGAACACTGGTGCAGATCCTCTTCTGCACAGGAGAGAAACACATGGCATTTTCACTACCAAACACAACCAAAAGATGTTTTCATTTAGATTTTTGTCTTTACTGAGAATTATGTAAAGAGTTGACCATATTCTTACTCAGAGTCCTGATATTGGATTTATAAAATTGTAATTATTATATTCAATGTTCTTCCAGTATGCATTTGACTTTAAAAATCTTCACATAAAATTGATCATCTCTTATTCATTTTGATTTTTAATTCAGTTCTGTCCTTATAGCTATGCATTTACATACTGATGTGTCTTTCTCAAGGTATATGCCAATATTAAATTTGCAAGCATTGTCACTAACAAGAGATTTATCTAAAATAAATCATAAAATTTCTTTGTACTCTCAGAATTCCTGATGTTAAACACTGGGGCATGCTGTTGAACACAATGTAGGTAGAAGTTGAGATTTATTTCTGAGGAGGTATAGATATGTACTAATTATATTTCCAAAAATTATTCTTACCTGTGTAACTTTTATATGATCATGAGGTGTAGGTTCACATAATCCGGTTAAATCAGGGTTATAGCTTCGCCCATCAGGATAAAGATAACTGAATTTAAACAGAAAACTTATTATTTTAATATATGAAGCCTCAGTGCATTCAATCTAATCAGTCTTCTATATTTAAACTCACATTTTTATTTGTCCTTTTTTCCATAAATCAACACCATATTCTTGCACCGCTTTTTTTCAATCATAGGAAATTCATAATATAAACTAATCCACTATGTAATAATTTTCAATTAAAATAGGTTAGTAATAGCGTCCTTATAAAATTAGAAAGTTAATTTAATAGTGACTTATAGCATATTCCAAAACCACGTAAATCAACTCCTACTTGCAGGTTGTTATATACTTTTTTGGAAGCATCTAGACTACATCATATTTATGCCATGTTGAAAATCCCAAGGAGAGAGAACAGAATTAAGCCATAACTATGCCCGAAATAATGAAGCTCTCCCATGGTGTCCTTTCTCAGTCTCCCTGCCTTTCTCCCCTACTCTTTCCACTCCTGCTGATAGGCACACAGATTCACAATACCCAAATGTGCACCTTGTAATATATGCACATGCATGTCAGAAAAACTGGAAAGTGTGATAATTCCATATTTCACTGACTTCAATAAGGCCACAGACAGGTTTGCAGATCAAGGTTTTCTACTAAGAATCAAACTTGAGCTAAAGTTACAATAAGGAATCTACGTTCATAAGTATCGTGAAAACCAAATTTATTGTCATTAAATGTCATTTTTAATAAACCATGACTGTAATGTCATTGCTGGTATAACTAGTTCAGTAAAAGTGATTAGAACCTATGGCTAATCCTGTTGAACATATTGTAGAGCTTAATAAAGGTTAAAATAGGTGTAGCAGTGACTATTTTAACAAAGTGCAAAATTTTGTTGATGACATAAGAAAAACCTTCTTTAAATGAAATGTCTACAAACAGTATAGTAATCAATATTTGAAAATTCTGCTAGACTAAGAGAAAACTGTAGTTATAGGACAGAATATTATCATACAGTAAGACAGAACAGTGAGTTTTCTTTGACTTAGGAAGGAAAAACCTAGTACTCAGCACAAAAGGCAGCCTCAATTTAGCAGAAATGAATTACTCTGAAGTAGTAATAGTTTATACACATATTTTAAGAGTACTTTTATGTTTTAGCAATGCTTTTTGATGCTGGAATGTGTCTGTTCCATATAATTATGGTCATAAAATTGCAGCTTAGGCATGAGTAATAGACAGAAGGCACGTCTATTGCTATTGCTTCGTCTTAAGGTAAACCACAAACTAAGAGATCATTGGCCTTACAATCTGCTCTATGCCCAGGCAGTCTCTAGATTTCAAATTAGCAAGTTGAAAGAATTGCTCATACTTACAAGCCTTCCCTGCTACCATCAATCAGGGCTTGGAACAGGGGCTTGTTGTGAGGTATGGTCTGTAGGATATTGCCGTCCCCAGTCACATAGCCAATGGCCCATTGTCCCAGCCGAGTGCAGCTTAACCGAAAAATGTAGCTACAAAACAAGATAAGAAGATGTTTGTTCAAACTCAAAGAGGCATGCCAACCACTAAACAATGTGTTAATATTTTGTCTTCTTGAGCAGAATGATTTACAATTCCTGATAGAAAATTCTATCCTTTCTCACAATTTAACACTACTGTACCTCACTGTTATCAATCTGTGTGAGAAACACTGATAATAATTCTTGTTCATTTAAGTATCTCCAGAGTTCTATTTAAAATAAATGAGGCTGGAAACTACCAAGAGATTTATTACCGCCACCGCAGAGATGTGTGCAGATGTGGCTGCTACGATACAGCCGTGATATATATCATCTTTGGAGAAGGATAAAATGAAGCAAATAGCTAAATAATTAATTTATCCACCACGGAAACTGAAACAGGAATTCAATATATTACTTTACCATTTAGGCATTAAAATTTGGTCACAGACTTGTTTAATGTTTTCTTGCAAGCATGATTCATCTTTAAACAAATCTCAAAAGAGCCAAACTATATCAATTACAGAGCACATATGATAAATTCGTAGCTTCTACCCAACCTGCCATTCAAATATTTTCCAGCCAACGTAATTCAAATACCATTTATTCAAATGAGTGGTAAATCTCTTAATTTCCAATAAAAGGTGATACTGGCGTGACTTTAAATCATCATCATTTATTTATTTCAGTACATTATCCTGCTTTATAGGACTGTATACAACTCAATCTCGCAATCAAGATATTAGTATCTGGACTGTACAATCTGTCCATCAATCAGACCAAAAGTAAGTTACATTAAGCCCTACTGGCTATATTTAAGTTGTTAAATGAATACGTAAATCAAGGGGAAAGCAAGAAAAGCTTCTCATATTTTAGTTATTGATAAATAGAGTACACTAAAAAAAACTTCATACACTGCTATAGCTTATCATACAGGATGGTTTCTCATTATATTTAATAACCTCGTATGGTAAAGAGTACAATCACATTTCAGTTAATAAGAAAATCAGGCTTTGAATAAAAAAGGAGTTTGTTGAAAGAGTTGTCAGAAGGGGATTTTCAAATTACTATAAACTGATTCCCCTAAGTGACCCTGATGATAAAGTATTGACCTACAAATTACTGATATTATTAATCAGAAACAGAAAAATATTTTCATTTAAATCAGACAAATGCTATATTATGAAAATTGTTCTCAGATAATATAGAGTAATTAATTATAATATGGAAGATCACTTGTCACATTAAGAAATGCAAGGGGCTGGAGAAATAGCCCAGCAGTTAAGGACATTTGCTATTCTTGCAGAGGACCTAGGCGTGGTTCTCAGCAACCCCCTGTAAATCCAGTCCTTTCTGACCTCTAGGATTACATGTTAAGCATGCACATGGTGTTCATAAATAACATTCAGTAAATAAATCTTTCCAATAAAAAAAAATCTTACCAAAGTACACATAATACTTTAAACTAAAGAATAAAATGTAAAAATCTCAGAGATTGTGGATACTATGTATTTTAGAAAATACGTAGAATGTGACGCCAAAATAAAGCATGCAACTACAAAATTCATTGGTTAATACTTTAAAAGTAATTGCCTATTTATACATCTTGCATATTTGTGAAACTGTCAGGTTTTAGTAAACATCTTGTTTCTGCATTGTTTCATGATGGTGTTTCTAAATTCAGTCATTAGGAAGGAGTTCAAGCCCTCCATACAATGTGTGCTGTTAGTAACACTTTGTGAGAGCCATGGATGGCAATTAGGAACAATTTATTCCTCTTAGCTAAGCTTCTGCTCGGTTCCATTTGCTCAACAATGTTTAAATCATTTGCTCTGTCCCTCCTGTGGGTAGCTGGTCCCACCTTCCTTAGGAAGAAGTAAACTCACACTTTCAGCTGTAGTAGCTTGTTCTTCAAAATGGTATGATTAACATAATCAGATAGATCTGCTTCATTAGGTGGCTCATGTTTGAAAATCACATTTAAGCGATTAATTTCTTAGATTCCCAGTTCTTTGCAGGGGTGCTGGATCTCAAATGCAGGACCTTCTGCATGCTCAGTAAACATTCTTTTGGGGCAGGAAGCTAATGATTTATCATATATATAAATATATATATATATATATATATTATTTATATGTGTATCTATCTATCTATCTATCTATCTATCTATCTATCTATCTATCTATCTATGTAAATATGGCAGATAAAGCACTACTGAAGGAACTCCAATATCCTTGGAATGGAATTAAATGTTTTATTTTCTGTGAAGCCAGAGAACAAAGGGTATTTTACAAAGCAAGTGATTATCTGTTCATAAGGAGGTTTTCTATGTATCTTAGATAGTAAAAGCACACTTCACATACTGTAACTTGTCATCAAGTATTGGATTCATGGGGTAGACTTTGAGTGAAGCAAAAGGATTCATCTAAACTTTGGAAAATATGAAAACTAACTGACCACTGCTCTGGGTCAGAAGGGTCACATCTGCAGGTTTTACAGAGACGGCTTCAATGAGACTCTGGTTTTTTTGTACCACTAGCTTCTTTGAATATGTCATATTAAATCTTCAAAAGCATGTGCATTTTCATTATCAGAGAAGGAACTAAAACTCTTGGCTTTGACTTACGAAGACTGTATTAAAAGCCACAGTCAATTATACTAAGTCAAATAAAGATGACTAGCAGAAAACGGAGACTTAAAAAAGAAAATATTTTCTCATACAAATGGAACAGTCTAATTGTACAGTGACCAACTCTAAAACGTAAAGCCTTCCAGCGCAGGTCAGTGATGCCGCTGATACTGTCCCCAGGACAATGCCTCCTGTGGCTTAGATATCACTGTCTGTGTGCCTAACAAATATTTAGGTGCCACATGTGGGAGCATCCTCTGAGCTGAGAAAAATAGATTTTCCAGTCTCTTATTTGCCACAGTGAGGGGTAATTTCTTGGACAATGCCAACAGAACTGACCTTTGACACTCAGTTGAGTCATTTGGAAAGCAAAACATAATAGTTTGAAGGCGTAAAGAAGTGGGTCATGGTAAACTGACAAGGGCACAGGACTGATTTGGAATATAACTGTAAATTCATATATTTTATGTACTTATGTGCATGTACTATTCTGTTTAATCATTGATACTACCTGAAACAATTCAACACTGTGGTAAAATAATGCACTCAAATGTAAACTGCTTAATTTTGTCTTAAGCACAATATTCAAGTGTTAATTATACACACATAAGTTTAAACAGGAACACTATGTACATAGCACAAGTACTATGAAAACACCCCAGAATGATTTGAGAAAGAGAACTGAGGATTGCAGAATCTTTAAACTTATTAACATCACTTTAAACTTAATGCCAACATCAGAAGTCAATGCATCAATTTAAGGACTCAATTTAAATGCACCCTTTCAGTCTTCTGCTTCCCCATAGTACCTTGCTGTTGGAGGCTATGGTCAATTTTCATAGCCATGAACGGCAGGGAGTTTTCTCCTTAAGCAGATCGGCCAGTATTAGTGCTTGGCTCTTACCTTCCAGGTTTGGTGCTGTATTTCTGTAGCCGAGCTTTAACTTCATCATATGTGAGAAATGCCATGTACCCCGGGTGTGTCACAGCTAAGAAGTTCCAATTCCGTAGAATAGAGCCCCAGGGCTAAACACATAAATAAACGGAAAGTAATTACCCAGAGAACACATGCCAATGGCACTGTTTCACATGCTTAGGGAGAGAAAGGCTCCTTGATATTTTTAAGCAAGCATGAGCAACCTTTGTAAACAATGACAAACACGCAAAAGCTTTTGGTTTTTACACAAACATGTTTAAGTAGAAAATATGTTTCTTAGGAATAGAATAGGGAGGGCAAAAGGAAATTCCTGTGTTCCTCACACAGTAGACTCCCAATAGAGAATTTATGATCATTACAAAATGAAATATTGACCAAATGGCCTTCAGGTTGGATCCTCGGTTGTCTTTCTACATGTCAGCAGCGCTTTCTACATTCACTTCAGCATTTTTTTTTTGGTGTAGCCCCAATGCCCTTTCTACCAGTCACAAATACAAAACCCTCCCCTACCTTACAATCTTTGAATTTTCTTTATCTCAATCAATCACCTGACTACCCACCATTCTTCAAGGAGGCCCTGTCAGAACCTCCTACCTAAAGCTATCTTTCGCCAGTCCTCATCTCTCCCATCTGTTCTGTCCAGTTTCTCCCTCAGATGCCTCATCTAACAAGAAGCCACATTACAAAAGCTAAGTGTTCGGGAAAAGGTTACACAATAACCACAAGCCATGTAAGGCCAAGGAGCATTCCTGTGCTGCTCAGGCCTGGATCCCAGTCACTCAAACAGCATCAGAAGCATAGTAATCAGGTTACTATGGCTGCCCCTAGACAGGCTTGCTTTAGAGGGGAGATTCCTTCTGAGATAACAGGTTTCAGACCTCACACTTGCTTTCTCCTAGCTCAGTTATGGACCTGGGGAAGGTTTGAAAGTAAGCTCGGTGTGAAGAAAACTTTTCACAGAAACATGTGTTTCCTATCAATCTCTCTTAATCTAATTAGTTGTCTCTCCAGGTACCATGGCAAGAGACAAAAGGCAGCCAGTAACAGGCAACCTTGCTGCAGGGTGTAGATGAATCATCCCTGCAATACTTTCAAGGCTGAAACTACATTTATCCCAAAGCATTGGCAGCATACTCCATCTGTTCTGCCAGACTCTTCACTGAAATCTTCTATGGTAAAAAAAAAATAAAAAGAGGAGGTGTCTCATGTCACCAACTTCAAGCTGCTGAAACAGGCACCCAGCCTTGATTACATTAGGCAAGTTCGGGCTTTCATTTGTTTTGAAACTTGTTCGTGTTTCTGGCATTTAAGGCAGAATTCTTCAAGGCCTTGTCCCTTACAATGAGGATAACAAGAAAGAAGAATTTAGTAATAAAGAGTTGTGTAGTCGTTTTGACTTAGCAAGAATGCCCTTTAGGGAATTTCCCCATCACACTGACACATCTAATTGGGTTAGAAAGGAGCTCCGAGAACACCAGCAGCATAGACACTGGCCCTGAACTTAAAAACTACAGCATGCTTTTAATTTTCTTCTTATGGCTTGACTGAAATTGCATAAAACTGTTCTTGGGAAAATATCAGCACATGTCAAAAAGGCAACTGAAGAATGAGTGGCAAGCCAGACACTTCAGTTTTCATGTAATTGTTTTGCTCCACCATCTAAGGAGGACCAGGCTAGAGGGAATAGCAAACAAATACCATAGCTCCTTACATTAATACCTGCGTACATTCTTGAAATTATAAATCATTTTAATCTGAAAATTTAAAGAGAATCAATTAACAGATCAAAATACAACTAAAAAAAAAAAAAATGAAACTGAAGGCTAGGCCATCCCCAGAGATATTAAGCCAGAGAGAAGCTTCTTAGTGCAGAAATATTTATGTAAGAGGATGAGTCTATAGTGTTGTGAAGGCAACCAATTCACACAGTCGGAGGTCATCCCCCAGCCACCAGTTTAAAGAAGGAGAAATAAATGCTTCACAGAAAAATAATATTTTAATTATTTTATAACTCACTTGTCTGGGATTTAAGAAAACCATTATTCCTCACAAAATTATCGGATGCTGTTAACAAACAACAGAATGTAGTGAGGTATATTCAAGAGACACACTGTCTTATGCTAGAAGAGGGGTCTCAATCAGTCTAGTCAGGCACTCCCTGGAAAGCTGGATATCACTGATGGCTTCCCTCCTCTCGGATGTTTCTCTATTCTATTACTGCTTGATGTTCCACTTTGACTAGAACGTTCTCTAAAATCTTTCTTCCTTATTCTACACCCACCACACACACTAACATAGTTATTTCTCAATGGCCCCAGGTTCTCTATCTGTAGGGGAAATTCGAGGAGATATCAACTTGCAGCTTTGGGGAAGGGGGAGGGGAAAAGATCCAGGGATTCACTGCATGACTATAGTATCTTCCTATCACAGCTCTTCTTGGTGACCTGAAGAGGAAAAAAAAAGGAGGGAAAGGTGGGGGGAGAGAAGAGGAGTGAGAAGGACCACTCAACTCTGCCACTTCCTTCTCAGGTTCGAAGCATTTGCTTGAGTTCCCTGTGGACAGAAGGATGAGGATGGGAGGAAGCAAAGGCATCTTGGTCCTGTATTTCCTGTACCGTTCCCGCTTCATCTCTTGGCTGTTCTACACTGCTTTCTCAACAGCCGTGCTATTCTCTCTATTTCAGACCCCAAACCCCAGGAGTATCTCATACAGTTTCAGATGATATGGAAAACACTAAACCCCCAATAATACAGTAGGACAGTAAGAATTACTAATGAACCACCATTATCAAGTTACAACAAACACATGTTTGCTTATGTACTTATAGCACTTAAAAAAACAACTTACGTGCTTCGAAAGGCTGTATAAATACAAGGTTTTAGGAATAGTGAATTCAAAAATATTAATACTCATTTTAACTGTATGTAAAACTAAAGGTCAGTAAAAGTTAAAATATCAGAGAACCAATTTCTTATTTAAAGCCACATGTATTGATGATTATGGTTGAAGTATTTAGACGGTGAGTACATTCAGAGGGAATGAAGAATGTCAGAAATCAGAGGACTTCGTGAGTCACTGGTACAGTGAACTGTTCCCAAATGATTGCCAATAATCTGCCCAGGTGAAAGGTTATCACAGCTGCTACCTTATCTATACTTTCTCTTTCTTTTTCACACCTCAGTGAATATACACAAGATAAGCAAACGTTAGAACATTAAGGCTACTTGGCCATTTTTAAGTGACACTACATATAAGGTAATGTATGCACAGTCAAGTAGTATAAGTGAGCATTTAACTAAAGTGAAGCTGCCTATACATGGTCATGTGTAAAGGAGGCATTAGAGCACTTGACATACACACTAAAACATCATCTGCAGGCTCTCTCTCTCTCTCTCTCTCTCTCTCTCACACACACACACACACACACACACACACACACACACAAGCACACTCAAGCACACACACAGAGGTGCACACACACAGAGAAAAGCACACAGAGGCAAACACAGAGGCACACACACACACTAAATGACTACAAGAATGAACAAAAGCAGACACTACAGAGAAGTTAGCATTGGCAGTGAAAATTACATAAGCTTTCTTCATCACAAGTTGAAAAATCAAAACTCTGATCATTTGATTTTTATTAAAAATAAAGCCTTTGTTCTGCAAATTGATCAGAAATCTTTAAGACAGGAGCTTTAAGTTGTAAATGATTAGTATTGAGTAACATAAGGTTTTTCTAAAGGGCCTACCTACTACTATCTCTTGAAATTACAGGCTATGATTTTATTATAAAAATCATTTAAACATAGGTTCACAACATATATACATCAAAGACACCATTAAGCCACTAGAAACTTAAACACATACTATGTACAGTATTTAAACTAATTTCTTATTTCACATACAATGTAGAGTCATGGATTCTAAATTGTGATAAAGTAAAATCTACCCTAATTGTGTTGTTAGCGGGAGTCTGTCTCTTCTTACTGAGCTATGTCAAGTTGATACCATATAGTGTTTTCTGGTTACACAAATCACTCCAGCAGGCTTTTCAGCCAGAGCTAAAGTAACGAATCCATACTATGTGAAACCAGAAGCCATTCTCATAGTCTAACATTTTACTTAATTATATTACAGTCAGAATATATCATACTGCTGTTTAAATAATATTTTAGCATACAAACAAACTTGGTTTCTAGTCAATTTTACCACATTTACTATAATTATCATAACTACAATTGTAAGCATTTTATAAGGATGATTTCATTTTGTAAGTGCTTGAGTTCAACCCCATAGATAATACACAAATACACTTTGTTTTGAAGTTTTTGAAAACACAAACTTCAATTCATTCAATTTAGAGACTTTAATTTTGATATATATAAGAAATAAGAAGAGAAAAGAAGACTGTTTCAGTACTATGCCACTTGCTTTAGAATATCATGTAAAAATAATTATGAATATTAAAAACACAAAAACAGTTATTGAAAAAAGCAAAAGAAAACCAAACTGAATAAATTTTATAAATTAATACTGACATAAAGTTTAATATAATATACAGGAACAGAAAAATATATTGATGAAGAATATCTATTGGTATGGAAAAATATCTGTTACAACTGATTGGAAGAGAAAAGCTGTTTGTAAAGTGCTGTAAAACCATAAGTATATTAGATTATAAGATATATGAATAGAATAATGGCCTATTTACTGTTTATCCTCTGATCCAAAAATGCCACAGCCAATGAGATGTTGGGATACAACTGTGGCAGACACTCACCTATAAAAGTTTCAAGCTAGCAGCCATTGGGCTTAAAGGTTAACAAAGTGAAAAAACAGGGAATTAAAAACAATCCCTCCCATGAGTCAATAATGCAAACAAGCAATCTACCAGAATCACATGACCTGAAATACAATGCTTGTACAAGAAGACTCACTCCAAACTTGGAATGACCAAGTGCTTACTTAGTGTGAATAAAACGGCTGGCTACCAGGACTGAGGTTATTGTCCATACCTTTGTGTACATTGTGTGTATACAACAGAAAAGAAATATATACAAAGCTCTGGAGGGAGGGAACAAAGGAGAGTATAGATAGATTAAATATGTGTATACCTTACCTGAAATAGCCTGGTAAAAATATCAAATTCAAACACTGAGATGTAATCATTACAAGTTAAATCAATGGTTGACTTCAGAGCCATTGCTTCCAGGCCAGAGCTGATCTGATGGACCTCATGCAGGCACTGTCTGAAGACTTTCCACGGTACAATAGTTCTGTGCAAGGGAAAAGGATGAGTCAGTGAATCAGTGACAGTGAAGACAGAGCTTCACGACAGCACAAGTAAGCCACAACACTATTAGCATCATATTTGTATTGGAAGAGTTGAAAATACGGTTCATGATTCAGGCTCCATGGAATATGCTCACTTGATTATTGTGTATTTGCTAAGAATACTAGTATTTCTTTCAGTTCATGGATATCAAGGTCACAGATATCTCAAAACACATCAAACAGAAGGCATTAGGGTCAAAGTGTTAGCTACCCTGAACTTTTTATTTGTATGCTGAAGACAGATTAATCATAAATCACCTACAACCTCCCAGATACTTTTTGCATGGGTTAAAAATACATGCTCTCATAGGAATGCAACTAGAATGTGTCGTTCATAAATGCAGCCATCCTGTAGGAATTTGTCTATTCACTACCCAATCAATATATCTTATTATATATCATAAAGCAGCAGTTTAAATAAGCCATGAATGGACATGCTTCAGAACTTCTGAGGCGCAGTGAACAGATTCAGAGAAACGTGTGTCTCTCATTCCTTGAACTCAGCAATTCCCAACCCTTGCCCACCCTCCTTTTCCACCATGAAAATCTGTAACATCCATCATTTGTTTCTTAGCAACCTTTCCTCCTTTCACAATGCCAACTTCCTACTCATGAATAGATGGAAGGAAGAAACTATTCATACTTTAAACATTTATATTTCAGTCTTCAAAACAGGACACAAGAGCTATATGCATGTGTGAGAAAGATAGCATATGTTTAAATCTTGGGTTTTTCTTTATCATTGTCTCTAGAGAAACTAAGCAGAAATGAGCTAAAATTTCCTCTCTCAATCTCCATTTTGTCACTAAAGATCAAGTTATAATTTGAATATTCTGAATTATTATCATTATCTACAGCAATCAAACATTAGCATAGACTAAGTCACAGTTTAAAGGGCTTATTGTCACAGAGAATTTGGAACCTAAATTAATCTGTGGCCTGAGGAGGGGCCAGAGAATGAACAATTTAAATGAGTTTCAAAATGGTGCTGATTCTGCTGGTCTCTCAGAGCCACTGATGAGCCACAGCTACCAACTGGGAATGCTGCTGTAGGCACTTAACTGTGGCAAGGCCTAACACCACCTCTGGCTTTGAAGGACATGCACTTTGGCTGTAGGATTGATAACACTCAATAACCCAGATGTGGAAAATAGAAAACCATGCTGATGGAATACTCAACACGAACCAGAGGGAATACAGGGAAGTGTGTGTGAAGTAGCCTGAAAAAAATTAAAACAGCTTAGGTGTGATGCACCATTAAAGAAGAAAGTTAAGATGCTTAATACCTCAAAAGACTTTAATCTATGTATGAAAAAAACAGGAAACCACAGAGAACTGAAGGGAGGCACCACATCAGACGCCATTTAGGAGAAACACACGTCAGACTCTGATTAAGGTTTATAAAAGGTAGTGTCATAAAAGCACAAGAAAAGTTTTTAGTAATATTAGGAAGCTATTGATTTCTAGAGACGTGTAGATATGCAGTTAGGCCATCTGCACTGCATGACCAAGAAAGCCCTGCCTAAGAAGAACAGATTCCTTTCCCAAATTTAAGTTTCCAATACTCTGCTGACACAGAAAACTAAAGTCATAACATGCAGAAGGGAAAATGTTGATCCAAGAACTACTAATTTCAGAGTGACATAGACACAACTTTTTCCTAGAAAACCACAGTATTATTTTATTTAAAAAGCATACACTGTAAAAAAAAAAAAAACTAGCCAAATGGAAAAGTTCACTCTGTTGAGTGTGTCAAGTATAAAGTTGAAACAACATGGTTGTGATAAACATTTTAATGTTACCCTAAAATTATCATATCCAATATTTAAAACCCATGCAGATTATAACCTACTTTGAATATCCCATGACTTTCCAGAGGAAAACATATATTTCAGCCACTTCTAAAATTTTGCTCTACCATACAACTGCAGAGCAATAATTTCCAACATAAAAAGACACATTTCCACACTAGCTGTGTAATGAGATTTGCTCATAGTACATTTGTGATAAACCCAAGCCCCAAGTACATATTCATTAGAACCTTAATTAAAGCTGAAAAAGAAGGCCGGGAAACCAGAGCACTGTTTGGCTGGCTTATTACACCGGTTCATTACTGTATCATTCCTCCACTTTGGTGGACTCAGCAGAGACCAAGTGTAGGAGGTGGTAGGAGCCATGGCTAGCTTCCTGAGGAAAGGACAGAAGAAACGTGCAAAACTATCTTTAAAAGAAGGGAACAATAGTGTTTTCAAACTCTTGCATCTTAGGTCTACTTCACAAAGATGAACATCAATTGCCATAAGATGAAGTCAGAGTGAAAATCTACTGCTGCCAAAATGTTTCCCTGATATCTGTGAACTTGTGTGTCTTGTCGGTGACCGAAGGCAAAGAGGAAGAAGAGAAGCACAGGCAGAGAGAAGCACAAAGGGGCCAACTTGAGCTTTGGTATCTCACAACACCAGAAAAATTACTTTGTTCTATTTGTCTCTTGTCATTATAAATCACATTAGCTCCAGGTAGAATACCATCAAAGTATACCGGGAAATTATTTTCATTTTTATTACATGTATCTAATTTCTGTGCATACGCATGCAAGTGTGTGCACCTGGAAGGCAGGGAGATGTCTGAGGACAAATTGCCATAGTTGATTCGCTCGTTCCATAATGTTGGTCATGGAGATTAAGCTTGTCTGCAGGGTCATCGTACGAGACCAAAGACAAAAAAATGTTCAATATACAATGCATGTTACACAGACCAGGGGGTATCCAGACAATTGCTTCAATAGTATGGTCTCAGTTTTAAATCTCATTAAGGATGAGAGCCGTAATTTCTTCACAGCTTACCAGTGCTCACCTACAATACAAAAATCTTAAGGACTTACAAAAAAGGTAAAGTTGTTTCATATAATGTCCAAAGAGAAAACATCATGGTAAAAAAAAAAAAAAGACTATGCTATCATTCTGTTAGCAGGTGCCGTATCTTAATCCTTCTTGGAAAAAAATATCCTCTGAGAAATAAGAAAAGGACACCAATCAGATGCCAGAAAACAAAACAAAAAAGGGGTCACTGGGTAAGTAATCAAGAGACGCTTCATCATCTAGGTTGTCACCTATGTGAAAGAGGAAGCATGTATCGGTCTCATGTGGAAGCCTTGCAATTTTAAGGGAAAGGAATGAATACAGGGTTAGGAAATTGTACAGGGAAAACAAAAGGAAGAAAAAGCATTTCCTGACACTTGTAGTTCACAGGTGGCTATGGGCTTTATGTGCAACAGTTAGGGGGAAAAACACATACTGAAGGTGTGACTATGAGCAATAAGAGTGGCGTCTGGAAACAGGAACTTGCACACACTTGTGGTAAGAAGAGAATGTACACAGCATTTCTAGAGGCCAAACTGGTAACGGGATTCATAGCCCATGCACCAGGAGAGTCTAGCATTGGTCGAAAAAGTATGACTGTGTAAAGATGCCCCTACCTGCCTCTTTATAGCAGTGCTGTGTGTAATACCCCCCAACCAAAATCAAATAAATTCATCTTTAATGACTGAATGTAAGACTATATTACAGCAACTGGAATTGCTCAGAACAATATGCAGCATGTAAAAGTGTTCATAGCACATTATTAAATAAACTAGTTTTTGTTTAATTACTACCATTAAGGGTCCAATGTTTAACATCTTTATAATATCTATAAAGATCATCAGAAACTGGACCTAGATTATAAAACTATAAACTTCTGAATGACACAATGTAACCTGAAGCTACGAGAGTGGGGAGCTACCAGAAGATGAACAAGGTCAGCACACATGCAGAGTCAGAAATAGAAAAGTCCTAAAGAGATATAACCTTCTGGAAGGCTGACAGGCTCAGTATTAGAAGCTTGTCACTTCTCCTTAAATTGATCTATAGATTTAATATAACCTCAGTCAAAACCCCCAGGAGGCATTGCTGCAATAGAAACAGATTCTAAACCTCACGGCAAAACACCAATAACCAAGATTAAATAAAAACTCTTCAGAAGAACAGGAGCAAGCATACATCCTTCCGATTAACCAACACTGTGGCGATGAGACATGGATAGACAGAGGTGGAAACACTGCCATTTCAGAAGCAAAAATACTCAAACACAGCCCTTGCTACACGCCAGCAACTAGAGGTACATCTTAAACCTAAGTGTAACACAAGATTTTCTTAGAAGAGACACAGGAAGATATCTGCACACATTTGGAATAGGCATACAACTTAAACAGAACCCACAGCATTCAAAGTATAAAGTACATGATGAGTTGCAGGGGGTGGGGATCTGTTCATGAGAGGATACTATAAATACAATTACTAAGATGCTGAACAGACATCCAATGATAGGCTCAACTTCACTGGTCATCAGAGAAAAGGAAATGTGAATCTGATGAAATTCACTCTCCCCCAAAACATGAAAAAGATGAGTGATATTACAAGTGTGGAAGAGGTGTAGAGCAAGGCATGCATGCCTGGAAGTGACCACTGGTACTTCAGGAACCACTGCAGAGCCTGCGAAGGATGAAGGTCTTTGAACACTTTGCATGTATCCTTTGAAAAGGTATATAAAGCAGTCCACTATTGACAGTCATTCAAATGCCACAAAGAGTAGAATGAATATCTACACAGTGGGGAAAGAGAAAAGAATTAAACACTGCTGCAAGCAGAAATAGGAGGCTTCCATGGGCATAACAAACGGAGGAGCAATATCAGTAAAAAGAAATACATCACTCGTTGTTTAACTCTTAATGATGCCACAGATGTGAGACTTCTGTGGGCAGGTGGTAACTACTCGGGTCTTGCTGTAGGTGTGGGCTCTCAGAGGAGGGGCCACTAAAATTCTGATACTTTATTCAGAATGTATTGATATCTGTACGTCCTCATCTTGGAAATCCATTACCTAACGCCATCTATGCTTCTATCCA